CTATGAAGTCACGTGACCTCCTTGTCTCAAGCTCTTGCCTGAATCAGCCAATCAGTGCGTGTAGAGCAAGAACCGTTATAATTACATTTATCACCATCGTTCCTTGAAGTAGCATCAACCAAAGGATCAAACTAATAACCTAAATCAGTAGGCTTAAATTCCTAAGGTCGATAGACGGGCGCAGAGTAATGATAAAGGTGTTCGAACTGTGAATTCGAGGATTCATGATTCGTAACCCATTGTCGTAGAAACGGAGTCCGTACTATGAAGCTATTGGTGCGCTATACAAGTGTTTATTTGTTAGCCACGAAGATACACAATTTGCTATCTGTGCTCTGCCTATCTCGGGTATCTTCGATTTTTAGTATGGAAATCCATTAGACATACCGTTGAGCTAGCGGGGAGCATCAGGTAAGATTAGCCCAAAAATTGGCGATGGGTACTGTTGACTAACTACCTTCCCTCTTGTCTATCAGTTCAAAGTTAAAAATGGCTATGCGTAGGTAGTCCATCTGTAGTTTTAAGCGAAATTATGAAAAAAAAAGAATAACAAAATCACAAACAAACAAAATGAACTTAAAACGTTTTAAAGAGGATAATCTTAAACAAAAATCTTTACTGAAATCGAAAAACAAATTACCAAAGTTATAGAGTTTCAAGGCTGAGCTTTACTTCTTTTCCAATAATTTCTATGTTATTTTAAAAAATCGCCATCTCAAACGTCTATTTTAAAAGAACATTGCCTATAGTTAAAATAAAAAGAAGCTATATTGAGTAATCTTAAAGAGAAAACGATCATAAAAATTTGAGATTGCTAAAATGACCAAAACTTAACGATTTTAAAAGCGTAACCCCCCTTGTTTTTAACGAAAGAACTCACAGAAGTAACTGAAATGTTTAATTTTTTTACATTTCTATTTTAGAAGTGTAATGTAGTTTTTAGTATTAAAAAATATAAAAACAAATTAAGAGTATATACTTAATATGTGGAATGTTAAAGTGCATCATAAGACAGTAAATGTGACGTCTGAAATGTTATACTCGAATTTCTCTGATTATACAAAATCATAAAATAAATAATCAATCTGTTACAACGACCACTGCTTAATGTTTATGGAAAGAATGCTTGCAGAAAAGTTTGTAAAAATATAATATTACTGCTTAAAGTACCAGCGCTAGCTGCTCTCTTTTTAAAAGTGCCATTCGCAGTACAAAATTGGAGTATCTCGAGGTGTTGTTGAATGTGATTTATAACTATTCTGAATCGTAGATCTAAAAAACGAAAAAGGTGTATTTCTCGGTATTGTGAGAAACGTATTTCTTATATAGGTTTGATTGGTTTTATCATATATCTGCAATCTGGAGAAAAAGGATTTTCATTTTCAGATTTTTCTTCTATTTCAAGACTGTAATCCTTTTGTTCAGTTACATAAGTGGAACGTAATTGATAAAGAATATGTACTTGTGTAATAAATATAATTTTTTTCCTGTTGCTGTTTTCCTGGTGGCTCTGCGATAAGTATAAAGACTTTTCAACGCTAAAAATCGGGTTTTCGATACCCACGATGGGTAGAGCACAGACAACCCATTGTGTAAATTTGTGTTCAACAACAAACAAATAAGTACTTCGTATTTCTTAGACATATTGAGTTTTATGATTTCTTGATAGGAATCAGATAAACAAAATCATATATTAAAAGTCTATGAATAATATATAAGTAGAATTGAAAACATAAAGTTTGAAATTATAAATATTTATTTTCCCATACAAGACGTCATTTATCGCTAAATATGTTACAAAACAACGTTCATCCCTCTCTTTATAACCTTAGAGGAATTTGGGAGAACACCCACAATTCGACCAGAAAGGGATAAGAAATTGGTCAAATGTATGTGCCACGTCCGAATGTTTTACGTTTTGTACATAAAGTCCCAGATGATAGAACTAATTGGTACACACCGAAAACACTGTGCGAGTTCTCAGCAATATGACGCTCTGTGGGCTGTAATATTGCGTCTATTCAATCAGTGCCGAAGCGATATCCAGCCAAAACAAAGTATCGCATGAAGTGCACAGCGTGGTCACAAGTAAATAGACAC